GGTATCATGTCTATGTCAGCATTGTAAGGTGGGAGAGAAAACTGCTGTCTGTTGTTTCATGTTTCATTCTTTCTGCAACTCAGCTAATGTTGACTGCTTTTGAACATGTCTGAGCATTTTTCTTAAATATCTCTTAAGTTTGTGTTCAAAAGGAACCTATCAGCTAGCTCAGTGTTTCTCAACCTTGACAATTTTAAGGCATGTGGACTTCAACTCCCAGAATTCCACAGCCAGCAATGCTGGCTGTGGAATTCTGGGAGTTGAAGTCCACATGCCTTAAAATTGTCAAGGTTGAGAAACACTGAGCTAGCTCCTTTAGGACCTGGTTTCTGAATAGTGCTGTTGTAGCACAGATAGGCAGCTGATAGGTGAGTTGCCCTTGAATGCACTCATGTGGATAGTAGTTTAAGAAGGCTTTGGGAAAGAGCTCTTGGAAAGGGTGAATTAGACATTGAGCCTAGCTTCAATCTCTGTAGGAATTCAAATGAAAGCATTCCTAAAAATGACGTTTCAGTCTCACCAATCAATGATTTGCTTTTCTACTGAATTGCTTTTACAATTAGAAAGTTTTCTGTACTTGGCAACAACAATCTGCCTTCCTCTTTTAATTGAAGATAATTATTCCATGTTCTGCACTCTGTACTAACATCCTTTATGATACACTTTAAGGCACTTAAATGTGGTCATTTTCCCCCAGATCTATCCTCAGTAATTGTTTCATAAGGCTAAGTATACTTGCTTCTAAGGATGTATAAAGCATTCTGTGCATAAATCATTCCATTCATTAAACACCTGGTTTTGGAAGGACCATGCCCAAACCAAAATGCATATGCTTTCAGTGCTTGGACCCATATATAAAATGAAATGGGGGTTGTTTTGTCCTGTTTGTCCTGGATATGAATCAGAATGTTGTTTCTTGAGTGGTGGGGATAATGAGAAAAATCTAAAGACATTGTCAATGCTCAAAGGGAGACAAGGAAAGTGCTGGGATTATTGGTGGTGGCAACTCTGTTGTGAAAGGGTAGAGTGCATCCTGGGGAGAGGGCAGTGGGATATGTCATACTGGGAAGGAAAGTTGCTGGTAATACTGGTAGCGTATGCAATATTGGGAGCTGCTGAGTGGAAGATGACGGAATGGAGATGCCGCATAGCAGCATCTGTTCTACGTGCCCCAAAATATTGTTCAAGGATTTTTTGTGGGGGGAAAAAATGGAACAAAACAACAAAGTATTCTTGATTTCATTTCTGCCAAACTGTCGCTGATTTTACTGATGCATCTAAAAATCAATTATCAGGCTTCATACTAGGTAAGCATTTATTCACTTTGTTCTTCACCCCCAAGTAGACTCAAGAAGGTTAGATAAGTAAATTTATTGCAGAAAATTAGAGAGTCATACATACAAGAGGTTCTCAGTCTAATTTAGGAATCCTGCCCAATATATATGTTTCTGAATATATGTACATGTGCATGTATATATACACGTTTGTTCCTTTGAGTCAGTTTTGACTCCTGGCTATTATATGGACGAATCCATGTAGTTTTCTTGGCAACTTTTGAGATTTGCTTCTTGGGTCTTTTCCCATTTTTTTGAGTCAGTGGAAGTGTAGCTGTCCATTTATTGACCTTGAAGCATTTTGCCATCTGTCTCTTTCTGCCTCACCATGTCAACTTTTACATATCTTTTCAACCAGTTAAGAGTCTCTCATCCTATACCAATGGATTTTATTTCTTTTTTCCATTTGAATTATTTATTTCTGTTAAATTTCATCATTATTTTCAGTCCCCCTCCCTGACTTAACAATTTTTTGAATTTTGTTCGTGTTCAAGAGTATTACCTCTGTTCTAGTCATATCTGTGCTATCTGCAGATCTGATAAATGTTCTCGCTACCTCTTTATCCAAGATTAATGTGCATGTTGAAGATTACAAGTCTGAGGATCAAACACTATTGCACCCACCTTGGTACCTCTCTCCAGTGTGCTGTAAATTATTTGGCATTCTTTGAATATAGTTTTCATACCCACTGGGGAATCACCAAATGGATATGCCATCCAGCTCATACTAGCTTGCAGATCAGAAAGTCATAGAGTATTTTGTGACATGCTTTGCTAAAGTTAAAATACACTATCTCTACGGCATTCCCATGATCTTCTAAGGAAGTTATCTTGTCAAAAAAGGACAAGGTTAATCTGGACAAATCTATGCTGACATCCTGTGATCACCACATTATTTTCAGGGTACTTAAATCAAATTTATCTAGAAGTTTCTTGGATATTGATATCAATAGATGTCTCTTAATTGGATTTCTGTCAAGCACAAGTCGGATTTTGCTCTTGACCATTGTTAGGTGGAGTGCATGTCCTCTTTGGGAAGACTGAGTCAAAATAAAATTTGTTGTAGTTTTGCTTTGTTACCAGTTAGCAGGGGGATATCTAAAGGAATGTTATATAAAGGAAAATGTTTTTTCTTATTCAAGAGGATAAAACCAGAACCAATGGATTGAAACTAATGAATAATAGATTGTTAGCCCTCCTGGGTAAACCAGACAAGAAACATAACTAGATGAGCTAAATCTTTTTTGTGGTAAAGGTACATTAACAGAATCTTGCAAAACCGAAGGTACAACTTGTTACCACTGTTTTAATCAATTAGGGTGGATTTTTCCTAATTTTCTTTCTCTGACCATTAAGCAATTGTGAGGTCCCCCGTCTCTTGCCTGATCAATCCCTAGGCCCCCAAAGTCATTCCATTACATAGATTCAGGTTATATATTAGGAAAAACATCCTAACCATGACAAAGAAATGTTGATCAACCATTTGATGCATGTCATGATATCTTCCCCTTTACTGTTGGTCTTCAAGCAATGAATGGCTAGCCTTCTATCTCAAAATATTAAGCAGAAGGTTGGGCTTGATGAATTTACCTTTTAATTCAAAGAATCCTATTTAATTCCTATCTAGTGGTTAAGGCATCAGGCAAGAAATCTGGAAGCCATGAGTTTTAGTTGCAGGTTAGGTGTGAAAGCCAGCTGGTGATTTGGGCCAGTTATACTTTCTCAACCTGACTTGTCTCATAGGATTGTTGATGTGGGAAGAATAGGTGGAGGAAGGAGTATTAGCTGTGTACTGATTTGAAATAAAGGTGGGATAAAAAATTGCAATTTCTGCCAAGATTGAATATCTAGTAGAGTATGTAGCCATATATTCCTTCCTCTCCGGAAGCCTAATAACTTAACAGTTACCTAGTAAATACGAAGAAGCAAAAGAAGGTCTCTAGGAAGGAATTGGGGCTGAAACAGAATGACAGTATGCAGGTGATGTTTGTGCAAGATGAATCTGTGACCAGCAGCAGGAAAATGTGATTTTGAGATGATCTTAATTCACTTGGCTTCAGCAAAGGTGATTGAGAGAAGAAGAGAGCCCATGGAACTACTGCAGAAATAAATATTGTATAGATGGGGAATCCCATTTGGCTCTTGACACCAAGCAACTACTTCAGTAACACCAAACGGTTTATTTCCTCATAAGATCTAGTTTAGATCCAAAGGAAAACAAGTTTAAGAGAAAGAAACAAATGGTTAGTGATAAAAGGAGTTATCAAAGCATCCTCTAAGAATAACACTTCTTAACATGTCCATTTCTTTTCTTTTTCCAATGGTCGTGTTCAGATAGGAGGCAATACCTTTAGGCTGACAAGACACTGCTATTCCTGCACCTTGCAAAATCCTGTTTCTCTCTCAATTGCAATGGATCTAGACGGTATTCTCCCTTGCATAAAAGTGCAAGAACTACTTACTGTTTTTTCCCCATTAAGGGCTTAAACTGTGCCTATTCAGTTTAAAGATTGCTGAGACCTCTTACTGCTAAGCCATGAAGTTTTTTTGCAGTGTTTCAGAACCAAAGGCAGCAACAGAAGACAAGTCTAACTTTTATCCATCAATCATTAATTTATGAAATGTGGGCATTCCTCAACTTTATTCTCTATTATAAACAAACATAAATACCCATTTTTTAAAAAGATTCGGTAGCGGTAGCTGTAAAGAAATCTCTTCCTTAATTTCACAGGGACTTTTAAATTGAGCTTTTTAGAGAAATCTAAATCAGTCTTTCAGATCATCTGGTCCTAAGCTACATATTTAGGGCTTTAACAGTTTATTTATTTATCATATTTAGAGGCTGCCCATCTCCCTCATAGAGCCACAGTTATAAGAAGTACTTTAAATCCCCAAACAGACTGGAAGTTACTACAATTGACAAAGCATAAACCCAACATAAATCTAATCATCTACCTTCAGTGGTTTTGTTTTTCTGAGCTGTTTTTTAAAAAATGAGCCCTATGCAAGAGCTTAAAAGGGAAATTATCATCACATGGGGCCAAGGCACCTCTAGTTACATACAGTTGTAGATAATTTATCAGTAAGATTTGATAAAAGATGTTTAAAAATTATTATTTCTACATATTTTAACCCATGGAAAATCTTTATTCACCTCAAATGTAATTCAAAATACACCTTGTTTCAATTTATCAATGCAAATTATTTATTGGCAGCACTTTACAAATTATTACAATGTGCTTACATTTAATCTTTAATGTAATTGTCATATAAATATACTACCTCTTTTTCCTGAATTTCTTTTCCTCATATCTCACAGCTAGCAGTAGTTTCTTTCTTATTCTTCTTACATTGTGTGAGTTTATTTGACAGCTCAGGATAACAATCCATGCAATTAATGGTGGGGGTTTGGTTTGCAAAAGCATATGCTACAGTTTGTTACTCTTTGTGGTGCAGGAAGATTTGTTCTTGTTTAGATGTGAAGCAAATGTTTTCTCATTAGACAGCAGGGCTTCCTTCACAAATCTGTCAAGGTTTGCCTTAGATGGGATTTATGGAAGCTTGATGGCTTCTTTTGTCCTGGGGTCTTCTTCCAGATATAGGTGTGAATGACTTCAGCTATTTTTCACACCTTTTTTCTTTCTTTCCTGCTTTTGTCCTTTTCAGGTGGAGACCAGTGAAATCCCCAAAGACACAGCTTCAGCACCCAAGTGCCCCCCACCTACCCACAACACCAGCCCTATGGAGCAAGTGCCCAATGGAGATGCTGAGATGGGTGCTTCTGAGAATTGCACTATCACCGATCTGAAGGGCAGGCAGCGAAGTGAAAACGAACCCAGTGGCCCGCCAGAAGGAGAGATGGGACGGGCCCTGGAAAACGGACGCTGCACCCCCAAGGACAGTCCTGATCCACCTACTAGTGAAGGTGAACAGAAAGTGTCAGATCAGCCTCTTGTAGTCTAAGCAGGAAACAGTTTAAGGTATCAAGGATAACTATCATATAGGATTAGTCAAACTCTCACATCCTAGAAACTTAAGCGAACAGTGCAGAGGAGGTTTAAGTGAGGCTATCTATGGCAAAGAAAGAAATGATGTAGACCTGGAGTCTTGTAGATGTGTAGAGACCTTGGTGATCTCTGAGCTTGGTTGTTGTGCAGAAGTTTCATTACCAGACTAGTGCACTGATAATATTACCTAGTCTGGTAACAAAATGTCAGCAGGCAAACAGCCAAACTCAGAGACCACCAAGGACTTCACAGTTCAACCCTGAGCTACATCTATTCTCTTTTCTTGTGGTTATTGTCACAGAACTATAGCTTGACGGTATGTCACATATCTTAAAGCTGTGGAGCAGTTTTTATTGCATTTTGTATCTTTTTCTGTCAGTGGTCAAGGTTCTGCAACTTGTACAAGAACCTTCCTGCTAACAGTAATAACTGACAAGGTCTTGTGAAATCACTAAGTAGCCCCCAAAACAACTTTGCAATTTAAAAAGTGTTGCTTTCTTTTTTTTAAAAAAAATAAGGTAATGAATGAACAGATCAACATATGTGTGAAGCTTTAATAAAAAAGATAAAGGAAGGCATGCAGTTGCCTTGAAGCAAGGGTGGGGCGAGACTGATTCCTGAGCCAATGTCTGATGTGCAAATATTTACAGGTGTCATTCAAATTAGGAAGCCAAGTTTATCCTATGCAAAAGAGATTAAATATGAATGTTTGAATTCTTTCTTGCTTAATTTGTTCAGGCCAAAAAAGTAGGTCTGACTTAGAAATTCTTACAGGAATGAAAGTGTTTTTTCTCTTTGTCTGTGATCTCTATTGAAGTAAATGCTGATGGGAATTCTCTTTGTAGGATTGAGTACAGGATTGCCTGTGAGAACCCCAAACCAATATTTCTCCTTCTGCTGATAGTGTGCCATCACTAATCCAAGAGCTTCTCTGTCCCATCCAATAAGAGCTCTTGAAAATCCAATGTTTCCCTTAGAGCATATCTAGAAAAAGTTTGTAATCCATGGACTCTCTAGTGAACATCTGGTAGAAGTTATTCTGAAGAGTATTTCTTCCCATTTCATTTTAGGAAGGTTTTGTGGATTGCTGAGTATGAGTGTCATCTTATGGATAGGTGGGTGACTTTTCAGAAAATCATTTCTGAAAATGTTAAGATCCTGGAAAATGTGCAAAGGACAGCAGGAAAGATGATAATGGATCTGGAGGTTCCTTGGTGCTCTCTGAGCTTGGTTGTTTTCTTGCAAACATTTCATTACCCAAAGTAGGTAACATCATCAATGCTAGTGATCAGTCTAGCACTAATGTTACTTAGTTTGAGTAATGAAACCAGGGTCCCCTATTTTCAATCCTGAGTTTACAAATATTCTCCTTTATTGGATCTAGAGGCTAAACTATATGATGAATGATTGAGGGAACTAGGTATGTCTAGTCTAATGAAGAGAAAGACTAGAGATGATATGATAGTAGTCTTCTAGTACTTAAAGGGCTGTCAGAGAGAAGGGGGGAATCAACTTATTCTCCAAAGCACCTGAGGGCTTGAGGACAAGAATTAACAGACCGAAGATTATTAAAGAGATATCCAACCTAGAATTAGGGAGAAGTTTCCTGACAGTGAGAATAATGGAACAGCTTGCCTCCTGGAGTTGTGGGTCATTCCCTGAAGGTTTTCAAGAAGAGACTGGACAGTCATTTGACTGAAAAGGTATGAGGCTCCTGCCTTGAGCAGGGGGTTAGAGTAGAAGACCTCCAAAGTCCCTTCCAGCCCTATGATTCTGTAAGATAAGAAATCCACTGGCTTGGAATATAGTGAACTGCAATCACTCTCCTTTGCCTCCCACAGTCAGAAATTCTGTGAGGGAATAGCTGAGATATATCTCAGTTTTCTTTTGAACAAGCCTATTGTAAAGATTCTCCAGAATCTGGAACATCGTTTCCATCCCCAGGGCTTCCAAAATGCTTATTGTTCCTAGAGATCAGTTTCACATTTGGGAATTACCAGTATCAGGGTTCTCAACCCAGGTGAGTGGTTTTAAAGTTGACAGGTTTGGTTGTGTACTTTAGATGAACAGATGAAAGTAGATGGCTGTTGATGCAGCACTTGGCTCTAAAACCCACATGGTAGTCAAATAATTGTAGATGCAGCATGGCTGCCTTTGGGGGTGTTGCTAACATGTCTGCATGAGTTCACAGAAGAAAAAAAATGGGGGAGACATTACAACATGTGGAAAGAAGAATTGAGAGTGTTCATGAGGGCATGTACAAGAAAAGGAAAGCTTGAATATTCCAAGGAGACTATTTCTACTAAGGCATCCAAAGTGTGATTTGAAAGTAATTTAGTTGGATTTTTTTTAGCATACAGTTAATCCTTGACTTACAACCATTCATTTAGCAACAGTTCAAAGTTACAATGGCATTGAAAAAAGTGACATGACCTGTCCTCAGACGTATGACAATCACATCATCCCCATGGTCACGTGATCAAAATTTGGGCGCTTGGCACCAGCATGTATTTGTGACCTTTCCAGCTGGCTTCCAATAAGCAAAGTCAATGGGGAAGACTAGATTTGCTTAACAACTGAGTGATTCACTTAACAGCTGCAGTGATTTGCTTAACAACCATGGTGAGAAAGTCATTAAAATTGGGCACAATTCATTTAACAACCATAGTAATGGAAATTCTGGTCCCAATTGTCATAAGCCGAGAACTAACTGTATGCTGTGAGAATGTTGCCATGCAGGATTGGTTCGGTTACAAAGTGTCTGAGAATTGAAAGACAGCTGAAATGAACTACTATGGAAATGAATGTGGATATATGTAGGATTTGGTACAGTTTACTGGAAATGTCTCTTATTCAAGTACAGACCAAGCCCCAGTGCTTCAATTGGAAGATCTGCCTCTTTCCCTCATTAGGAAATTCCTCACCTTTCTGTCCCTGAAGTATTTGGGAAATGTGCAAGAACATAGCACTTCTGATTTAACAGAGTAACAGATTTGGAAGGGACCTTGGAGGTCTTCTAGTCCAACCCCCTGCTCAAGCAGGAGACCCTATACCATTTCAGACAAATAATAAATCCCAAATCTGTCCTTGAGGAGGCCAGCCCACTTTTTCTCAAGGTGAGGCTACCTCTGTTAAGGGTGGGCTAAACAAATCTTGTCTTCTTCTCTCCACTTTTCCTCAAACTTTATAAGAGAATCTGCTTTGTCTTTCCAGTCTGGTTTTTGTTGCCTCCTCACTCTTTTTTGGGTGAGCCTGCCCCCAAAATCCAAGGGACAGCCTTTGTGGAATGGATAAGAGTGGCGAATTCCATGTTCCCAGGGAGCTTATGTTTCCTGCTGGCAGGAAGCCTGTAAAGGGGAGGGGTCTTCTTGACTGCTGCCCTGCCAAGAGCATTTGTTGGGAAGGGGCCTCCTTCAGGCTGAGTTTTTGCCAGATGCAAACTCTGAAAGCAGAGGATCCCAAAGGGGGAGAGTGCGAATGGCAGGTCAGAACTACCAAGCGATCCCAGAATTGTTTTGGGGTGTGCCTCCAGAATGTCTTTGTCCCCTAGAATATTGAGTTCTGGAAAGTCAGCCCCAGGCATCCCAGTATTCAAAGACATGTGATAAGAAAAGGGAGGGGACTTTCAAAGGATGGGGAAGGAGCGAGGATGGGAGGCACCTTGGTGAAATAAAGGATAGCTGTTGTAAGTTGTGAAATGTTGATGCTCTTAAGATATTTAAAGACATGGCAGGCTAAAGATGACCAAGGGCAGTGAATGTATTGTATTTCATTAAGACAAAAATAACCTGAAATCTAGTTTTAAAAATAAGAAAGGTGAACAACAGTCTTTTATACACTCAAATATTTTAGACCTAGGGGGAAAAAAAATAAAGCCAGGACCGTAGAGTTTGGTCAAGGCATTTTGCCAATTGGCTTATTGGCTGCTTATATGTCATCTCAGCAATGCTTGGCTTGGCTGCAATGCTTAGTTTCCAGAAACTCTAAGCTCTTGCTGCAGTGTTGTCTGGCCTGATCTGAATAAAGTGAGATTCTCTATGTGGAGCTTGCTGGCCCAAAGGGGGTAGACATGCCAAAGTTGTGGTTATAGTGCAGTTGTATTGATTAAAGCAGGTTTTGCATTACTTCAAAAGTGAGACATCTTAAAACAGTAAATAAAATTGTATTTAAAATGTAGATGTAATAATTCAAAAATCCAACAAACCCTTTATTTAAAACATTAAAAAGAGGAAAGGGAACTCATCACAATTCCCAGTTAAAATGCTAACATTGAGGTGCTGTCAATTAAAAATAAAGTGTAGCCCCATAGCAGAGGAACGCAAAAGTATCTGATTCTGAACTCTTAAGTAATTCACATCTGGTGGACATCATTAATTTCTATCCAGATTCAATATCCATCCCTAGCTAATAAAATCATAGAGTTGGAATGGACCATTAAGTCATTACCATCCCCCTCTTTCCACCTGCATCTTTTATGCATTTTTGAATAAGCTATGTGGTTTTGTTTGATACATGGCTTTTTCCTCCCTTTCTGAGGCCCCTCAAGTCTGCTTTCCATTCTGTCCCTTCTCCCCATAGCCAAAATAGTACATTGGATGCTATGGTACTTTGCTGTAAGCCTGCAAGGAGGTGAGCTCATAAGAAAAAGATACAAGCAAGAGGTAAATAGCAAGAGATGTCATAGCACAGTGGTTCTCAACCTTTTTAATGCCGCGACCCCAACCGGTCATAAGTCGAGGACTAAACCGGTCGTACGTCGAGGACTAAACCGGTCGTAAGTCGAGGACTAAACCGGTCGTAAGTCGAGGACTACCCAACCGGTCGTAAGTCGAGGACTTTCCCTGCCCGGGAGCGCCGCGCATGCGTGGTTCTGCCCCCTGCGCCGGCCAAGGCATAGCTGGCAAGCGGCAGAGACGGAGCAGGCCGACCACCAGCTGGCCCAGCCCAAGGGAGGTA